ACAAGTTATTCTTTGAATAAGAGGAGGTGGAAATCAGCCCTGTTTTTGAAAATGTGAGTGACGAGAAGGACAACAAACTAGGACCCGGCGTCAAGGAACTTTTGTACCACATATAGAAACATATAGAATGGACTTGAGCGCTTTTATGGTGGGCAGCTACTGCCTGATTTTGGTAAAGCAATTTTTACTTCAAAGAGACTCTAGTAAGGACCTATTCAATGTGTTCGCTCTCAAACAACAGGGATTCTACCGTAACCTCCTCACTTCTGACCGGAAGAGAAAGTTATAGGATTTTCTTGATAATCACTTAGAACCGTAACGACTCCCGGGTATAGTAGTTATCTCATCTTTTGTTGAATTTTTCTGCTTCAATTTGGTGTTTTTTCCAATTGTTATTCATTTGCGCAGTTTACTTACTACTTTGTTTTTTATGCTTCACATGAAAAAATATCTAATGTAAATAATAATGTAATACGGTTCCCGGCGGAAGGGGTGTAGTGGTGTGGCACGCTTACCACGCGAGCGGTCCGGGGATCAAATCCTGGGTCGTGAGTCGCCCGGGCCAACCAAGCCTTCCATCCCTCCGGGGTCGGTTAATTGGTACCAGACTTGTCTGGGAGGATAAAAACACTGACTTGTACATCGGCTGGCCCCCGCAAGTCATTGTATAGGCCACATCGCATTCAAACGCCACTACGAATGTACAAATGGAAGTAGAATGCGTGCCGCATCCCAAAAGGGATTGATCAACGGCAAATGCTTTATCCTTTTATGTTCCACGGCTGGTAGCTGGCCTATCCGATACTTCTTCCTCTTTCGCTCCTTCAAGAGGCGATCTGCTTTTCAGACTCGAAGTGTCGATTGCGCTTTGCTGTTGACCTTGTTTTCATCTACAAAACCAAACGGATCAGCCACTTTCCCTCTTTTCGCTTTCCTCATCTACATGTCATATCGTTGTCTAATCTTCGGCAGTACTGTAGTGTCTGTGTCCTCGTTGGCCATTCTGACCATTGCCTCATCTACAGTCACCAGCTCACCCAAAATCGTCTTGAAGTGGGAATAGATGAGTGTGAGGTGAGCTTTCCCGACAGTTTACCTCCCAGCCATTTCAGGAGCATTACCCCCACTCTATAATCAGGAGCAGGTTCCCACTCCATAATCTCCTGAGTTTGGAATCGTTTCAGATGGGATTGAAGCTGGTCACCTCGCGCATCGCTGCACTAAATGGCTCACTACGTAAGCCTCGCTATGCATCGCACTACAACGCTGCTGTTCCCAGACACGAATACTATGACAGGATCGACAGCAACAACGCAGTGGTAAGAACTGACAGGAAAGGCTTTCAACTTCCACGGTACCGGTTCGATGGGGTCTCACACGAATATTAAGACTAAAACTGTCCTATCTAAGCAAGTTCTGTGAGCGGCTCAAGATTTGCAGCATGCAGACCAGGAAATAAGGAGAGACTAATCTATCCGCAACAGCGGCGTCACATGATTTTTTCTCCTGCGAATTTTGCAGGGATCATCTAGCGACAGTTTAGCGCCAACAACTTGCTGTTTTGCAGCAGTCACTTGCAGTTTGACTCTCATGGTTTGTTGATAAAGCTTCATTTAGCAGGTTTTTGGCCTTTCATATTCGTGAGTAGAACTCATGAACTTATCAATTCACACAGGTATCCATTCTAAGTTCCATAGGAAGTTGAAAGCCTTCCCTGGTGAGGGCAGTTTAACCCATTGCGGACCGCGTGCTGCACGTCGCCGCACGGGAAAGATTAGTTGTTTTTGATTTAGGTTACGTTTTTCTAAGTCACAAACTCAACAGCAAGCTTTTTAGAACAGAAAAACTCAAGTATTTAAAACACTGAGAAAACTGTTGTAGATTACTGTTCGGTGGAGACGGAAAACCTAACGAAGTTGCTCACATAACGTCAGTCCACAATGGATTAATGTGAACCCGTCGTGATAACCTGGTATAATTACCTAATCGCTCAAGCCCCTTTCGAACGTTCTAGAGATTTTCCCAAGTTCCCCTCCACAGACTGAAGGAAAGAATCAAATAAATAAACTGAACATCCGTGCTTCAACCACTTCAAGATGTCCCATTTATGCGTTTTCCACCGAAACCTCCTCGAGCGGTTCCCTCGCCTCTGTTCCCGACAAAGAGGAAATCGAAAAAAGTTTCTAGCGAAATTCAGCATCAATCTGAAAGGATGAGAGCACAGCTAAGGCCACGGTGTGGCATCAGGGTCAACTGTCACTATACGAACGAGGGGGCCGTATTTTGGGGTTGAGCAAGGTTAACCACTTTGGGAAGACTGTAAACGGGGGTCATAAAAAGGGGGTTGAAAAGGGAGTTGCACTTTACGGGTTTGTCCAGCTAGTTTGTCAGAAGTTTTATGAAAGAGGATAGCAGGTTAAGATTGACAAATTGACAAAGATTCACCATTCCATGACCTAATCCCTCCCTCCCCGCCCCTTCGCTCATGGTGGTTTCTGAGGAAAAGTGGGTGAAGTTGGGTGTGTCGACAGGTCTCAATCAAGTACCATGTATAGAGGCACCCCTTATGGCGAGGTTGGCGATCGGGGTAGGGGAAAGGGTCGTATTGGGGGACCTAATAGTAAGGCTGATGGTGGTAGGTGTTCTCATAAACACCCCTCTAAAAGAGAGGGGTCCCAAAATTTGGCAAAAACGCGTAAGGTTGACCCTGTGGCATCCCTGCAGAATCGGACCTTGCTCAAACCCAGTGATTTTTTTCGCTATTTCCTTTATTAGGAGGATAATATACCACCTCTGGAGAAAAAAGGCTCCAGTTTTGGAAAGGAGATCTGGGAAAATCTTTATGCACTCAAATTCACATTCAAAGGCTTCCATGACCGACTAGAAACCGAACACCTGGCGCGCTTGAAAGGATTACTCAACGCTGACTGTCTTTACTCTTTACTCTTCAATAATTGAAGGAATTTTCAGCCACCATCATCCTATCCTTATGCGTTATATAAGAACTTAAAGCCATGGGACCACTATGCAAGGCCGGCCTCGGCTAGGCTGGACATACTCAGTCTCAAACCTCCTGCGACAACATCTGCTGCTCCTACAGTTGTTCCTTCGATGGATCGAGAAGGAGCAATGCCAAGTCAAGATCTGGATATGACTGCTAGTGCTGAACTTGGAGATGAAAGGACAGACTCACATAAGGCCAGCTTCAGAGGATCAGAGAGGGATGGTCAGAATACGCCCAGCTATCAAGGTATCGAGAGTAGCAGAGAAGGTGGATTTTGAAAGCGGTGACGGATCCAGTGAATGTAAAGTATGCTGCACTCCTGGCCCTCCAGGACTACCAGGACCAAACGGAAAGAATGGACTTCCAGGTCTCCCTGGTGAAAATGGAGGTTTTGGAAGTCCAGGAAGACGACCGAGGGGGCCTTGCCAAGGTAATGTCAGTCGAAATCAGAAGCTCGAAAAAGAGTTGCTTTATTTGTTTTAGAACATACATCTCAACTTTGCAAGGAATGTCCACAAGGAGAAGACGGACCGAAGGGGCTGAAAGGAGAGCCAGGAACACCCGGACCACCCGGTATTCCTGGGTCCAGAGGACTTAATGGACTGCCAGGAATAGCAGGGAGTCGAGGTATGTGCGCTGAAAGGAACATCTGACTTTCGAGACAACATACGGATTATTTCAGGCGTTCGTGGACCACCTGGACTGCCTGGCCCGCCAGGTATAGAGGGCGACTTCGGAGAAATTCCTGATGTTGAACCTCCCTTACCAGGAGAACCGGGACCTCCAGGAGTAAGTTTCTCTCGTAGCTTTGAAGAGCATACTTTGGCTTCTACTTAGTGATCGAATACTCACTATTGAGTACAATTGCAGCTTCCCGGTCCTCGCGGACCTATCGGTAAATCGGGAAAACCAGCCATGGAAACGGAGAACATCAGTGGAATGAAAGGAATGCGAGGATCTCCAGGTAGTTGCCCCTGCACTTTTTGGACTCAAACGCTTGACGACTTCAGGCAATTTTGATTGATTACAGGTTGTTGATGAGCTCCAGGTCCAGAAGGAAGAGCCAGGGATCCACGGTGCGGTGGGCCCGCCAGGAGGTGCAGGAATGTGCCCCACGTATTGTGCAGTGGATGGAGGAGTATTCATTGAACCAGACAGGGGAAGATTTAAATGGATTCAGTAAGCACTGAATAGATATCAGCGATGCGGATACTTCAAATCGAGGGAGGCTTATTATGTCGTTTTACCAAATTAATCATTCCGTAATTGAGTTGAGCACGGCCACAATGTGGTGAAAATTGGAAATATTACCCGGCCATCTAGCGCAGATCGCTGGGTTGGTAAACACAGTGTACTACATAAACGCATCCGACGATGAAATCCAGTTTTTAAGTTAAGTCGCCCCATACACTTCTCACCCTAAGAGGATCGCCCAGTTTTCGAAGAGAAATAGGCTCACGGGAAACTCCATCTCTGGTGACGTTCGAGGCTAAGGTGGGACGGAAACAGGGAAACACCATGGAAAGTAACTCGCGCCTCGGGACGCCACGCCTGAAAAATCTGTTTGAGCGTTCAGTTCTTAATAGAGAACAAACGATCCACTCGAATAGGAGCCAGGAGAAACTGGAAATGTTATCGCCGGTAAAGCGAAAAGGCCGTAAAAAGTTCCTTCTTGGTTTGGCACCGGAAGCCTAAGTGCGATTGGTTCATTTGTGACAGATGTACGGTGGCGAAACGTGCGAAAGTGTAAACAGTTTTTCTAAACTGTGTTAGTAAGCAAACATTTTTTTTCGTTTTTCTCGTGGATGGTCTCAAACCAGTGGTTTATAAGTGAGATGTAATTGTGATTTTCCCGTGGACGATTCCTCAGAGCCAGTGATACGCATAAACAGAAATTGAAGAACGAGAATCTGTCTCAGTAGGCGAGGCTCTTTGAGGACGCCACCTGGCTCTGTTTGCGGCCAAGACTCGCGTAGCGGGCCTAGCAAACCACTGCAACAACAAGTGCGGTTGCTTGGAGAACTCCGTCTCAAGGCGAATGGTTACCAGAAGCGATAGAACTCCGATTACTGCTTCCACCATCGTTAGCATTTGACTGATTTTTGCGAATTATGTCGGTCAATGGGGTTAATTCTTCTAAACGACCTGTTCTTGATCGCTAACTCGTCCAAAACAGGAAGCCGTTAGCGCCCCGTTACCCGTACCATCTACTTTATGTGCGTCAAGTGGATCTGAATATGTGGTCAGCCGTTCAATGGAGGGGGTTTTGAGCGCTATCACAAGATACGGGGGCATGGGGAGTGGGAACGCACTCAAAACCTCGCAAAACGACTCCTTATTGGACCGTATTAAGCCTTGAGCAGGGAAGGAGGGAAGGAGAAACTCCAGGATGCATTGAGCAATTTTAATTTCTCCCCAAGTTCCTGCCTCTCCTCGGCTTGGCTCTAGAGGATGCCCCATGTACTACGATAGTACCTGGTTTCGAAGCAAAGGTGGCCGTTCCTCCAGAGGCATTTGTGATTACTGGTACCCTTTTCGGACACCGCAAATTGATGCGGAGCGCCATCTGACCCTGAGGCTGGTTTCAGAGTTCGCGATCCGTCGAGCGAATCGCGCCACGGACCGTGGACTCTAAAACCAGCCCTACCACCAGAGAAGGTCAACTGGTTATACTAGCCATTTGCAATGTGGTGTACACAGTGCAAACATACCTTCCAATCTGTTTAACTCTTCTGAACGGAGTCAGGCTGGTGTCAGATTCCGCGATCCGTCGCGCGATTCGCGTGAACGCGCGACAAGTCGCGGACTCTGACACCACCTAACCATAAGTGTTCTCCAGGCTTATTGATGCACGCTGAAAAATGACATTTCAATTCACCAACGAGTTTGTCTCTCTGTTAAGCATTTAACGCAGTCACACTGAAATCGATATTCTCGAAGTGATGCCGGATGTCGTTTTATTGAAACCAATGATAACACGCGTGATTGCCAATTAAACTACAAGAGAATAAAAATCGATTAGAAAACAAAAGGATGCAGGAGAATAAATGAAAAACATGGACCATGAATAGAGCTGTATTGTGATGGTTGAAAATAAGAAACAGCTACAAAGCGACCAGGGAATCGAAATAGCACAGCCAGAATGGAACGCGACATGCTATTGTGATTCACCCAGACGTCCCTTAACACTAAAAGTACTCGGCGTCGCGTCCTGTCTGAGCTTCGCCAGCGCCGCCAGCTGACAAATGGAACCCCCCAAGAATTACGGTGCTCGGTCTCTGACAGTAGCGATGCTTGTCACATCGATAGGCAGCAGAACCTAGATCGTTCAACTGAGACGGTTGTGACGGTATGGTGGCTGCAGAAGACTCGACCAATGTAGAAGGACACGAACGCTCGACGACGTACGTTGCGGCTTGGACTTGCGCTGCATGACGCTAACGTCCGCATGATGGAAAGCAGTCGAACGGGGAACAGAAAGAGCCCCGCGATGGACGCGAAGTCGTTTGTTCGCGGCGGCCAGCCATGGAAACGGCAGAAACGCACTCAATGCGAATCGCCATGAGAACATTCTGAAACAACATTTTAAGACAGCACAAAATATCACATATAAAATATCAAAATAAAGTAATAAAAAAAAGCAATAATAAAACCAACATCATATAAAAAATCCTATAAAAAGAACAGCCGCAATAGCAGCCATTTAACCTCACTATTTTTCCGTCAGGAAGCCCAAATTAATTTAAATCAGAGCAAGAGCAATTCTAGAAAACTCAAGAATCTCTTCAAAATATTTGTTGTGAGTGTCATGAACCTGCGGTGCGGTGCGGAGCATGATGCGAAGTCCAGCCCCTTTTCAAATTCTCAAATACTTTAAAGGCAAAAGTCGGGCTCAATAAGGGGGTATTATGGCGATTGAAACTGAGTATAGAGATGCGAAGTGGAACGACAGTGGAGAAAAACCGTCGACAAGGCCGTTAACAAAACCCTCTTTCCCACTAGCAGTGAAGGAGGCTGGCTTGGGGAAAGAGGCACGTACAAACAAGATACGGCAATCAACCTAGCTGATTTCACACGTTATGCCAGCCACGCACCACTTCCGGAGGTGGGCGGTCCTGGATTGACCAGGCGGCCCTGGATTGAAACCGAACGCCCCGGGGCCTTAACGGGGTTTTTCAAGGTGGGAAGTTGCTGCAATGTGTGCAGCTACCCACATACAACCTCCAGGCACGGGAATTACTTCTCTAGCGATACGATTCGAGCGATTTGCAAAGTCTGACATCGGAATAAAGCGCCTCGTTTCTTGTGTACTACTGCATTGGTTTTGGGGGAAGGTGGGGCTTTCGATCAAGAATCCCGGACCTTGCCTCTTAATGGAATCCTCATTGAATCGCCTTAAGTTCTGACCTTCTCCTCTTCTGATGCTTGAACAAAGCTTTGAGCTATTTAGCTACAGCAAAAGCTCTTTTGTAAGGCCATCCAAAAAAGATTCCATTCAACAACAACGATTGGTATTAAAAATCCCATGCTCCATTCTATTTCATCTCGTCTTCATTAAAATCTCTCGTACTAACGCGCATTTTCTTCCACGCATCTCCATACGTCCTCCAATCTCTACAACGCCTGAAGAATGCCGTATTTCCACTTTTCGCGGCACTTTGTTTTGGCTTATCTTCTCTAAAGGGACA